GCTAGGAGAATTCATACTTCCCTTTCTGCAAAGCTATTGGATAAGTGGGCTTTGAATCTTTAAAACAAGCCATGCAAGGAATATCTCGAGGCTTCGGTGAATGGGGCGGCATAGAAGCTTCCTAAATAAATAAATAAATAAATATCTGCCTCCCTTGCAAAAGTAGCGTGATTGGAAGCTTTATACATGCATTCACCCTCATGAAATTACCATTCCCTCTCAAAGACCAAGGGTGAAGGTAGTGGGTGAATGTGTCAGTTTCAGTTTCTTACATTTCCAAACTTAAATTTGGTTCATCTCAAAACTCAGAAAATTTCTTCAGTTGCAAGTTTTGTATATCACAAGCATTGACGTTTATATGAAACTTCCTAAATATTTTTTGTGTTCATTTCTCCTAAGACATGTACTTTTGCCTAAGATATTTTTGCTTAAAGCACACTATTTTGTAAGTCTTTTCCTAATATAATGCATTTTTAATAATATTTCTGTAAGACACATATATTTGTATGGGTATTTTGATAGGATAACTCCACTTAAGAATTGGAAGAAGTTTGAATTTGAAGGATGGAAAGGCTTCAGTTTGCACTGTGATATCAGCATGCAAAATTAAGTAAATTTGCATGGAAATGTGAACTGAACATATTTATCCTCCATCCCAGATCTGAGGTGAAGAGTCTCCCCTCTATGTGCAGGCCTCCCATGTGCTTCAAAATATTGATGGCATGGAAACCTAATAATGTGCTGGCTATAACTAGTAGACCAGGCTCTTCTGTTCAGACTGTCCTGCTGCTGCAAAGAATGGAAGTTCATGGAGTCAGAGAGCAGGGATGGAACAGAGGTGTTAAGTCCATTCAGCACAGTAACAGTACAAGAAGGATATAGCCAGGCTGGAGTTGGTGCAGCGCAGGGCCACAAAGATGGTGGCCGGATTGCAGGGGAAGCGGTTTGAGGCAAGACTGGTGGAACTGGGTCTTTCCAGCCTGGAGAAGAGGAGACTCAGAGGGGATCTGTTGGCGACATATAGTACATGAGAGAGTGCCACACAAAGGTGGGTAAAGACCCATTTTCCCCTGCAGAGGAGGGCAGGACACATTCCAATGGAGCAAAGCTCAGGGAACCAAGATTTAATTTGGATGCCAGGAAGTACTTTCCGACAAGACCCAAATGGTATAGAACAGGCTTCTATGGGAGGTGGTTGTAACCCCATTGGTGAGAATGTTCAAGGACAGGCTGGACACGCCTATGGTAGGCATGTCATGAGCAGAACTGGCTGGAGCCAGCAGTCAGACTAGATGGCCCAGGAGGCCCCTTCTGACTCACTCTGCTTCTATGTTTCTATGTCTTCTGTTCATACAATTGTATGGGTGTCAATGCACAAATATGGCTACTGTGGCAAGGGATGTAATCATCAAAACAGTGGGATATGCAATTGAAGGGCAATTAGGTCAGTGGGATAGACAGTGCCCAGCAATGATCCTCATCATCATTAGTTTGTATTACTTACTGCACTTCTAAGTGAGGAAGGGAACATGGTGCACTTACATCAATAAAGAAAATATTGATATTTGTGAATTTCTGCTTACAGCTAGCACTGTGGTGATCCTTTCTTCTTCTATTTATTTTTGGCCACATGTTTTGAAGCTGGATGAAATGAAATTGCACCCAAAAACTGCAAGTCGTTCCTGAGCCCTATTTCAAAGCTCCTTATTTTTTTTGTCTGTGAATTGCACCCAGAAATTGTTCTATACTGTAAAAGAAGAAGAGGACTATGTTAAATCGAACAGCACAAGAGTTCAGAACAAACTGAATTACAGGAGGTTTACAGTAAAAGCAGTGTTCAAACAATTATTAAACAAAGATAATCGAAAGCAAATTGTCTACAACCTTTAATGCTATATTTACCAAAGAACAGTACAGAACAGAAAAGGATCTGTTGCCTAAAACTCAACAGAGAAGACACTTGTGAACCATTCACTGCTCATTGCAGGCGTCGAAAACATTTGGAGCAGATCTTCTGACAACCTTCTGAGTGATAATATTCATATAACGTGCAATTCTGATCTGCAGTGTATGAAGGAAAGGTGCATGCCCTTTCACGAATATGTATACCAAAGTTGTAGTATCAGTATATGGAATAGCAGGTGTGTACATGGAAATAAGGGGCAGGTTTTGTACAAGCAATTTGAAAGGCCAAGGAAACAACTATTGATTACCTTGCCGTTACCCACATAATACATTATTTTTTGCTATTTAATGACTACTATGGGAAATACCTAGAAATATGAATTTCAAACACCCCTATAACAGAAGACAAAAGTTGGAATGAACATTGGAATGAATGATAGGTAAAATCTGGCATGCACTATTATGGGTTTGCAGTGACATTTCTATTGAAACATTGTGTTCTTGCTGCCCCACAGACTGCTTCTTCAGCTTGCTGTTCTCCAAATGAGTTCCAAAGAGTTGATTCAAAATAATTGCAAAAGGTTCCACTTACTTCTGCCCACTTACAAAATAATTGCAAAAACTTACTACTTACTTCTGCAAATCGGCAAGAACTGGCCTCGGTCCTATCTCTTGGATGGATGATCATGGAAGTTCAGTTTTATGAACGTGTGTAAAGTTTTCCATATTTAGGACAAAAAAGAACTTCGGATGAAAAGAATTCAGGCATGAGAGAAGGTCCTTCCAGCCATATCAATGCATGCAATCTGGAAGATACATCCACCCAGACCTGGGATTTAATGTAAATGCTTAGCTCCAGAAAGACCGAATTGGAATCCCCCTGCATCCTACAAGACTTCGTTTGAATCCCTGGGTCTGAATCCCTGCGGTCACCTCTGTTCTTTTTCTGACAAGTTCTTCATCTTACACACCTATCTGGCAGGTTCATCACAGTCCTCTCTATGCTTGAAATAGTTTACCTATCAAATTTGGCTAGCGCAGATGGATTGTAATTTTGTTTCAGATCATGCTTGGTCAGAATTTACTGAATTTGCAAAGAACTAATATTCCAGGAAAAAAAGAATGTGAGAGAAAATAAAATGGAAAGAGTTGTTCACTGCTACAACCCTCCCGCCCCCAAAAAGCACCATTGGTATTCCACGGCACGATATGCGTTGCAGTGCAAATCTGTAGTTACTGCTTGAACAAAAAGTTCCAACAGTGGCTAACCTGCTGCCATCATGAAACATCCAAGGAAGCCAACATCTGACGCTTCATTTGGTGTCTTGATAATATTTCAAGCAATTTAAAACTGAAAAGGCAACCTGCCAAAATTTTGATTTATTGTAATAATTATCAGTAATATTTTGACACCCATTTTGCACAGAAAAGAGAGAGTGAAATGAATCCCAAAGTACAGAAGGATTTTTTATTTGCAAAATTCCCCACTAAATGTTTTGCAGTGCTTGTCATGTTTCATGGTAATGTTCTCCATTAGATATCATGTTAACTCCTTTAAAAATAGAGAACGAAATAAGAGTCTTTCATCTTCAAAGCTACTGTGATTAGAAGATATCTTTGCTGCAGATGAAGATGAAAACATTTACTCTTTACTGGATTGTTTTTCAAAGACTAATCTACAGCATCTTGATGCTTGTCTCTCTCATTAAAGTGTATAACATTTATGCTGCTTCCTTCTCCTTCTCTTCACACCCGTGCTGCACCCATGCCAAAGTCATCTCATGTATCTTATTGAATGTGTATTGTATGTATGTACTGTTGAACATCATTTTTAAAAAGAAAAGCTATGCAAGAATTTTTCTTCTTTGATTTTTCTTGTAGCCTGGGACCATCCTGCTTATCAAATCATTTGCAGTGGCCGTGTAAGCTCTTCTTTCCTTGACTTCCAGGTCAGTACAGTGGTACTTCTGCTCACGAATGCCTCATTTCACGACCAAAACTGGTCGCGAACAGAAATTTCAGAAAAAAAATGTCTCAGGTCATGAACTCTGCATCGGGTGACAATCGTGATCGTACCCATCTTCCCTGCACAGGCCATCTGCCCCAAGCACGATCACGAACATCACGATTGCATTTAAGACATTTTAATCAATATTTTAATCAGTTTTAATATTGAATTTTATTATTGTATTTCATTAAATGCAGCCAGAGTGGGTTGTCAATTTATTTATGCTGTTAGCCATCCAGAGGCGTTAGTAATTGGACAGCATACAAATTTTATAAATAAATAAATTAACCCCCCCCCCCCCCGTGGCTGCAATCATGCCTGTGCAGGGGACACGGGTGCGATTGTGGTCATGCTCAGAGGGAGGGAGATGGCTGCGATCTTTGTTGTTCTTTGCCACTTTGCTTCTGATTTTTGTGATTTAAAAAAATAGTTGCAGAACGGATTAACCTTATTTACATTGACCCTTATGGGGAAATTTGACTTGGGCCGCGACCAGAGTCGTGGAATGGATTAAGTTCATGAGCCAAGGTACCACTGTATTTCTCTTCAGCCCATGGCACAGTAGGGTATACTTGTCCTTAAGGCGATAATCCTGCGCCTGACCTGTGTGCCTCTTTAGACAGCATTATAGGTATTTATAAGTGAATATTCCTCCTTAAACCTTTTATCTTTCCATATGATAAATATAAATGCAACAGGGAAAATCCAGGGTGGTTTTCTATGTGCACAGGTGTTCATGTTATCATATCTGTGTTTATTTCAAATGAAGGAGCACTGAATAATATGAAATCCCATCTGTAGTCTGCAATGGTAGAACTCAGATTCAACTTTAGGGCATGCATCCCAGAACAAGTAGCTTCTGGACAGAAGGCCAGTCCCCAAATGAACTGTGATTGCTGTTGCCTGCACTTCTCTGCTTTCCTCAACAGCAGCCTTGCATTTTTCCTGCAACAGCAGCATGCACAAGTTGCCTGCACATTGGATCCCTGCAGCTCAGAGGTCTAACCCACCATATCAGGAGGGCCATGAGAGCCCAGAAGAAAAGCCTCCTTCCCTCAGCTCATTGTCCACTTGGTATGTTCAGCATGGTTCCATGGTGCAATGGTTAGCACTCTGAACTCTGAATCCAGCAATCCGAGTTCGAATCTCTGTGGAACCTAGAAAAATATTTTGGACATGCACATGGTAGGCATGTCATGAGCAGAGCCAGCTGGAGCCAAGGGTCAGACTAGAAGGCCCAGGAGGCCCCTTCTGACTCACTCGGTTTCTGTTTCTATGGTTTCCATGAATGCAGGTAAGGGCCTGGCTCTCATGGTGGACCTATGCACATATTAAGGATGGGATGAACCCTGTCAGAATCCATCCCTCCAAGCATTCATAGGCTTCCTCTAGTGCTGGGTCCCATCTTCCACAGAGAGCTGAGCCAAGAGACAATCTACGAATGCCCTCTCAGCCCCCGTTGCGCAACTGGAAACCTTCTTCCTCATCTTGCAGAAGTTGTGCTGCTCATGCAGCGCTATGGAGTTGGCCGCTTTCCTGGTGGGTGCTCTGTCGCTGGGGACCCACCTGCCAAGAAAGTGAGCCCCCAACCAGTGGCAGTGCCCACTCAAACGGCAGCTGCTCCTCATGCTGAGCTCAGCTGTGGGACACTCCATCAGGAGGCCCAGCTGCTGATGGAACGGATGCTCTGTCAACAAATGGGCATGAGGGCCATCATTCCTGGGGGGAAACTGTCTTTCCCGCTTTCCACCGCCACTGTGGGTGGTGCACAGGAAAAGAGGGAGCGGCAACGGGGGGCGCTGGCTGTCGTTCTGGAAGCCAACCTCCTGCCCTGCCTTGGGCATGAAGGAATGGCACTGGTTGTTCAGTGCATGAGGCTCACTACTTGTGTGTGTGTGTGTGTGTGTGAGGAGGGGTGTCCAGAACACCCTAGATGGGCTTGCCAAGGACTTGGACTTCAGGCTGCAGCACAGTAGGCTGGAGTCCAGGAAGCCAAAACTAGGGGATCTAGTGGATGTTCTGTCCAGAAAGGATTCCACTCGAATGGCTGGTGCACTTACATTTGTACACACATAGACTCTGGTTATGCACAGCAGAAGGATGGATTCGCGGGGTACAGCCTTCAGCTGCATGAAAAGCAGAGTACCCTGCATGGTTCTCAATCTGAGCAAGAGATGTAGGAGAATTTTTCTGCTGCTCCTATATCACCCAAATGAACCCATTTGGGACGCCAATTATCATTCAAAAGATGCTTGCATGTGACCAAGCTTGCAACTGCATTAAAGAAATGTATTTTAAAAAAGTGGGTACTTTGAAATGCACACTTTTCAGTAACAACAGCAACAACACATTTTCATGCTTTAGTCAAGAAGGTGGAAGTGTACGCTCATGAAAAATTGCACAGAAATATACAGTGTTCCAATTCGAAATCAGCATTTCCCCCTTCCACCGAATTGGAAAAAATAGGTCATAAAGAAAAAATATGAGCAAGCTGATTTGATCTTCTAGGTGAAGTCCAGAAATATTGGCAGGTGCAAACTTTTCTGATTTTCCGATCTCTATTCTATTTTGAACCCTATCCTTCTCATATTCTGGAAGGAAGTGCAAGATGGATTTAATATGAGAAACAAGGCTCAGGGAACATGTGGTCCTTTATCCTTTCTTATGTCCCAAACCGCTCTAACAGTGTCATTCTAAACACAATTACCAGGGAATAAACCCCACTGAATGCAGTGGGACTTCTGAGTGAGCCTCTGATGCACTAGAAAGCTTAGCCCACTTACTAAGAAGTAAGTCACATTTAAATCAATAAGCCTGCATTTGAGTAAACATGTTAAGGGGAATTGGCATTTCTCTGTGCTGTGTACTGGGGAAGGAACAATTTCTGGCTAATTTGATGTTTTAAAATACCCTGGTGTGGGGAGAGAGTTTTTGCAGGCATCTTCTGGGAGACAAATCTGATCTAAAAATAAGTTGTTATTATTATGCTATTCCTTTGTGACTCTCTTCTCCTTTGTACACTATTTTTAATTCCTCCCCCTTGTGTCTTTTCTTACCTTTTGTTCTCTGTGTTTGTTTCATTAGTTCTATATTGTTTATAGTTCCTTGCTTTTCTGTTAAATTCTGGTTGTTATTCCTTGCCTCAGTTCCTGGGGACAGGCAGTCTTCTCTCTTCTGTGCTTCTGTCTGAGCACCAATATTAAATACTCTTTGATCCTCTCTGCTTTCTCTGATTCATTTACATCAGTTCTGCATGTTTTTTCTGGCCCACAAATTGCTTGACCTTTACAGACTTGACTTATGGTAGGCTCCAATTCCTGTACCCTTTTATCTCTCAGCACTTGATCTTTCACTTGCTGAATCTGTGATTACAGAAATTGGTACGTTCATCTTTCTCCACCAGTCATTTGTTATCACAGCATTTCGCCGAACATGAAGGCGCTCCATTGACAGCAACTTCATTTCCTGGCATCGTTAAGGTGCTAGTTTGGAGCTCCTAAACAGACTGAGCTGTCAAAAACTAAATGCTATTGCATGTTAGCTGTCAAATGCCATAATATATGGAATAACCATTCTATAGAAAACTTTAAAGTGAAACCAAAGCTAATCACCGTGGGATGCAAACCTTGCCAGTTTAGACAGAGGCAATCCTGCAATTCCCAGGATTCCCTGGACAACTCTGCTGTCTGGAGAATGCTGGGACTTGTAGGACATATTTCTGTCTAAACCTGCATAGGACTCCATGCTCATTGTGCACAGTTGCACATATATCAAAGAGGGAATATCCTTGCACAATTCCTGTCAAACACGTCACATATTGTGTGTCCCAGTCACACTGCTGTCCTCTCCCTGTATGCTTCTGTCAATGTCACTTATGCATGTGCCCCCATGGCAGTGTTGGTTCTTCCTGAAGGGGAAAAGAACAGCGTGCCAGGACTGAGAGGACCAGAGCACATGCTGTATTTATTTTTTTTATTATTAAAAAAGCCGCATACAAAGCCGCTTAGTTCATTCTCCTCCTCCTGCTCTCACACTTATCCCCACAACAACCACCCTGTGAGGCAGATTGGGCAGAGTCTGTGACTGGCCCAACGTCACCCAGTTGCCTCCATGGCTGAGTGGGGACTACAGCTCAGGTCACCTGAGTCCCAGCCCCATGCTCTGGACTACCACGCCACACTGGCTCTCATACAGAGACATGTTTTTTAAGCAATTGGAGCATACTAGAATTGGTAGGGTTAAAGCCATGGAGACTGCACATACTTTGGGAAAGTGATGGGGCTGGGGGAGCAAGCAGCAAAGCACAGAAAAAGACACTCCAGAGTTTCCCCAAATATATGGTTTTGTGTTAAAGAAACAGAAAGCGTTGTGGGTTCAGTGGCATGGCGATGCCCTTTCAGTGTAGTCTCCTGAGGAGGTGAGTGAAAACAAGGCAGGATCCAGCAGCATTTCGGGGAAAGAGGGGATTTTTAACAAGGAGGAAAAGGAGCGGACTGGGTGGAGGGTGCTTGATCTGTTCTGGATGGAGTTGCACTCTCTGCAAGGGAACTGATGTACAGTTTGAGGGGTCCTCCAGGAGTCAGCTGCATCTGCTGAGGATCAGGTGTCTTCAGTGGCATGGAGTGACTTCTATTAGCTTTAGCTAGTGGACCATCTATCCACTATCTGTCAATCTATCTGGCAGAGATGGCTTGGCTTCAGTAGTCTCTGTGTGGCTCATCTCCAAGTTAGATCACTACAATGTGGAACTTTCCCTTGAGAGTCGAGGGGATCTTATGGGAGATAGACTGGAAATCATGGGAATTCTGGTTTGCTATGGGCATTCAAGCTTTGGTGTTCATCTAAACGTATCCAGAAAGCTCTTGCGCTCCAGGTGACTTCTTCCACTGTGGTTTAGCTGCAGGTTAGCATACTGTGTGGAACCAAATGCAGATTTTGGGGCAAGGTTGGGAAATCTTTATGGGCTTGGGATCTTGATTGCCCTCTCCCAAGCCCATCCATCTCTCCATGCCCATGTTTCATTTTTGTGTGCAGAGAGAACTTGGCTGGTGCCAATGGAGGCTGATTGGAGATAACAGTAGGATTCCACTCCCAACACTAGTGATAAGATTGGCTTTTCTGTAGTGTGTAATTCTCAGTTTTACTTTCATTTAGGAGATATTAGGAGATTGGGCTGGGTTTGCTTTCCAAGGCCTGGTGAGGGAAGGAGGAAAATTTGTGAGCTGACCTTGGTACAGATATTTCTTATTCCTGTGCCAGGGAAATGCTTAAGATGGCACTGGAGGATGCTCTTTGGGCAACAAGTAATTGTGCTTCTCTAGGCTTCTGTACTGCATTTGGTAGGAATAATATATGGATATCTACAGTTAGACCAGGAACAGGTCTATGCAGGGTGTAGTGCCTGGAACGGCGCTTTGCTCCCCAGGAGTTGTGTGTGCCCCTTTCTAACATTTGAAGCACCCATTGGTCCATCTTTGATATTTGACATGTTCAGCTGCTCTATTTTTTGTGAGAGAAGTACAGCCTTGGTGAGGAAGAAGAGCAATGCTTGGTGGAGAAGGGGTAGTTGCCATTTGGCCAGATTAGAAGCTCTTACTCTAGAACCAGAGGCCTCCACAGCAGCAAAGGTCAGCAAAAACACCAGTTCCGTGTCTCACCAGGGACCTCAAATAGGTGGCTCCACCAGCATTTTGCAGAGGATTGTAGCTCATGGACTGGGTTCCACACTTCATCGGAGCAACCACAGAGAAGGCCCCACCGTTCCATTCATACTGCAAAGCTTCTGAGAGGGCAAAGGGTTTGGTGAAAGCGCTGGCCTCTCTTGCATCGACGGCAGTGTAGAGGGAGAGGCTTAGCATGGTCTGGGGACATTACTGCACTTTTCTGGACTTTGGAGCAGCAAGGTGCTGATGCTTCACTGACTCCTCACCATGGCAAGAACTTTTAGTCTTTTTGAAAGGTGTTTATAACCTGCTGCAATGCGCACGAAGGACTGGGAACCCCCCTGCTGAGATGCATGGAGAAAAGGAAGCCAGATCTCAGAAGACTGAACACTACCCTGAATCTTGGCAGAGCACATTGTGCACTCTCTGCTATTTTAGCACGTGTGTGTGTTAGATGGAGTTTCACAGGCTGAGCACCATTTTTAAGGAGAGTTTG